ATCGGTTTGACCTAAAACCGTATTGGCAATCAGAGAGGATTTTATGTCTATCAATAAATGTGTCTAATCTGTTATTAAAGAGTTTTTCCAGAATTTTTGAAAATTGTGACAACAGAGAAATCGGTCTATAATTTGTGAAGTTGTGCTTATCACCAGATTTATACAGTGGAATAACCTTTGCTATTTTCATATTATTGGGGAACTGCCCAAGTCGAAACGACATGTTAAAAATATGGGTTAATGGTTTGCATATCTCCTCAATTACCCATTTAACAGTTGTCATAGTGATACCATCACTATCACTAGATGTTTTGTTACCACATTTATTCACTATCTCTATAATTTCCTTTTCAACTATGGGCTTCAAGAACATAGAACTCATGTTCCTTTCCATTGTATTATTATTTATAGTGACGGATGTATCATCTGTACAAATGCTTCTTCCTAAACTAGGACCAACATTCACTGCAAATAATAACACTTTTCAATTTAAAGAAGTGTTTAGGTGAGGTGGTTGGAAGGTAGAAAAGGGTAGAGGGAGACATTGTGGAAAATAACAAGAAATGAAGAGATACAGATACCTACAGAGAGAAAGCTGCATGCAGCTCCTTGATAAGATTTCTTCTCTAGAGTGGAATTTCTTATGCTCTGACTCCACCCTCCTGCCTTTTACTTATAAATATAATATAATCAAACACTGTATATTTACAAATCAAGCACCTGCCTCCCTGCTAAAAATGTACTGATTTTTTTAGGGGACATCAATTATAAATTACCCAAATGTCCAAATGATTAAAATGGGGTTTAAACAGATATTGAAGGAGAATCTTTAATTTCACTGTCCTGATATTCTGTTTTCACTGCATGTTAATCCATTGGAGGTCATGCACCTATACAAGATAACAAATGACAGATGACATTCATGATGTTAATATAATAAAAATGCATTGTTCCATATATTGACATGAGTCACAGACTATGCTTCCTGGTTTTGTCTTGTTTTTTCCCCATCTCCCCTTGCCATCTCTCGTGTCCCAGCGCAATCAGCAATCATCACATCCACCTGCTGTTCATTATTTCCCAGTCCAGTCTCCTATATATACGCCCATTTTCCATTAGCTCCCTACTGATTTGTTTGTCAACTCCCCATGCTCTTTGCCAGATCGTTGTGCGTGTTCATTCCTGAACGAATTGGGGCTCCCGCACATTTGAGCGGTTCTGTGACTGTGTACCT